GTAGTTGATTTAAAAAAAAAAAGTCAACCACACAACATATTTACAATCTTACCTAAGGATTACTTTTCACCAACATCAAGATAAGTTACCAAGAACATGTTTCAATCACATGAATAAAAGTATAAAAATCTTTGATTCCTTCCTTATTCTAGAATATTTAATCCAAGAGAGATTAATTAAAGTCATATAATTTAGTATGTTCTCAATGTACACGATAGAAATGATTTGACAGGGAGAGCTATTATCGACTCTAGGATCGCTTCTAGACTGCCTAGGGACTTTTAATGTCTTCTAAAGTAGGTCTTTGGTCATCAGCCTAGCTGACAGATAAGAGGCAGCCTTCTAGGGGCCACAGGCTTAGTGTGTGCTGCCCAGGCAATGAATAATCCACATTTGCTCTGTAAGAGACAGTGCCTACCTATTTTCCTTCAAAGAATTCTACAATGTCAGCCTAGTAGGTAGGACTGCCTCTGGCTAACTAGATGCCAAGTTTCAAGAGCAAAGTAAAAAACAAACAATATGGGGAAATCCAGGGGAAAGAAGAATGAGAATCCCTTATGCTGGCAGAACTGTCATGAGCCCATTAACGCACAGATGTCTTAGGTGCCAAAAATGTGATACTAAAAGCTAAGGACACACTAAATAGCCACCTGACACGCTGACCTACTCAGGTGGAAGCAGAGAACAAACCAACCCAAGTGGATAGGTAGAACTTTTAAAAAAATGGTATTACTCGCACACTTGGCATTGTTTTTAAAGCTCAACGGGCAGGGGCGTGCAGCAAATGGAGAAACAAGAGGAGCTGGTCTCCCTGTGCTCTTTCACCTGCTCAGACCACCGTGTGAGCCGGGCACTGACTCGCACCACTTCTTCCAGACTAGTTTCCAGCAAAGCTGAGGGCCCCAGCCACTCCTGCCCATACAGCTGGACAGGAGGACATGACCTGTTACCACTCACTCTACTTCTGATGAGAGCGTGCTGCAAAGGCTCCCCTCTCCAATGGAAGAGCAGATACTTCTCCACTCATGGGCTTAATTCAGAGTTTGCTGAGCACCTCCTTGTATTAGATATCGGACATGCACACATTCACTCTAGTTCTTGTCCTCTAAGAGTCAAAGTCCTTTTCCTTTAGCCTCCATTTTAGTTGGAGGCAGAGACAAGAAGATATTTTATTTTTATTTTTTACAATATATTTTAGATCATAGTGATGAGTGCAAAGAAGAGAAAATGATGCTGAAAGACATTCCTAACAGATGTTTATGAGTGACAAGAAATGATATAAGAAAATAAGCACTTTTAGTCTCTAAACTTCAATTCCTCTATGAAACCAGCCTGTCTCTTATGCAAAGGATAAAGCAGGTAATTCTCAAATTCCTTTCTAACTAAAACATTCTACAATGCCAGGTTTAACGAGAACATTTGGGGCTGATCCAACCACTCCCATGAAGTAGTTCAGTAGTTTTTTCTTTTGAGACAAGATCTTGCTATGTTGCTCATGCTGGTCTCGAACTTGAGACCTTCCTGCCTCAGCCTCCCCAGTACTGACATTGTACACATGGGCCACTAGGCCAAACAAGTAGTTCAATAGTTTTGACTTTAAAATAACCTGTGGAAATTTTGGCAGGGCAAATAAAATTTAAGGAGCAATGAACAACAACAAATGGTGTACAGCAAATTCTTATCAAACCACTAGAAACATGAATACCCATTAAAAAGTAAGACACATTAATTTCCAATGTAATTATAAAGATATTCCTTAGATCCCTTTGATGCACTAGATTCTGAGTTAACATAATCTGACACATAATAGGTGCTCAATAAATATCTGCTAAACAAACGAATTCAATTTCACCCCAAATCAAAAGGCCAATTCAAATATTCAAACCTCAAGGATGGGGGTATATATTGCCTAGCATGTGCAAGGCCCTGGGTTCAATCCCAGCATGATAAAACAAAAACCAAAACAAATATTCAAATCTCCAAGGTTTAAAGTAATGCTATTATGTACTTGGCAATTAAAGGCATACCTTTGGTCTAAAAAGTCCATTTCAATAACTGGCAACATATCTGAAAAAATAATCAGACAAGTGCCCAACAATACATGTATATATATTTGTAACAAGCATGTGAGAATACAATAGTGGTCTTGTGTGTATAAGAGTGAAAGACAGGACCCTCATAGCAAGCAGAGCCATCTCATTTGCGTTTCTGTTTACTACCACATATTGTTAGTCTGTGGAATGATTTTATTGACTGATCTGTTTGGCATCACATTTTCATAAGATGGTTATGCTACTGTAATAATGTGGTAGACTGTTTATACATACTCACAATTGATGCCATAGCCCAACTGGTTTTTTTTTGGTACCAGGGATTGAACTCGGACACCTTGTGCTTGCGAGGCAGGCAGCGGAACCACTGAGCTAAATCCCTGGCCCCCAACTGGTTTTTTTTTTTTTTTTAACCTATACTCCCTCAATAAATTTGAATCATCTCTTAATCATTAAAAAAAAAGTGAAAGACAAGAAACAGCTCTAGGTAACCAAAAGAAGGGAACCAGTTAAATGGTATATCAGTTTAATTAAAAATGATATTGATGTATTTGTTGATAAAGCTATTTATGAACATTAAGGTCTAAATGCAAGTTACATATGGAATTTTAAGAAAAACCTGTCCATCCATGTTCACAGCAGCCAAAATAGTCAAATGTCCATCAGCAATCAAAATATGATACATCTTTTCCATGAGATTATTATAAAGAATGTGTATTAATGTCCATGTTATATATTGATACACATGCTGTATCTTCTGAACATTATTCTAAATGAAAGCAGGCAGTCAAAAAAGACATGTTATATAACTGTTTATATGCACTGTCCAGACTAGCAGACCCACAGCTATAGGAAGTGCCCTGATGGCTGCCCTGGCCTGAGTAGACAGGGCAGTGAGGATGGGGTTTCTTCTGGGGGTGACGAAAAGGTTCCAGAATTGGACAGTGGTGAGAACTGCACAACTCTGTGAATATTTTAAAACCTATTCAACTATATGCCTTACAAGAGTAAAATTTCCTAGAAATAGAAAAATCCATACTAAAATTCATAAGGAATCTCAAGGAGCCGTAGGTAGTCACAACAGATTTTAAAAAGAGGAATAAAGGGTAATGATTTTACATTTCAAAACTTATTACAAAGTAATTAAAAGCGTGGTACTGGCATTATGACAGACCTACAGATGGGTGGAATAGGACAGAGAGCTCAGAAATTACCCACCACATACAAGGTCAGATGGCCTTCAACAGAGGTTAGGACCATTCAATGGGGAAAGGAAAGTCTTTTTTTACCAAATACCGCTTGGAAAAATGGAGAACCAAATGCAAAAAGCACATAGCTGGACTTTTACTTCATATAAGATATAAAGTTAACTCTAAGTATGTAAGCCTAAGATCCAAAATTATAAGGGGAAAGTTTAATGACATTAGATTTGAAATGATTTTTTTTGGATGTGACACCAAGAATAAAGATGACAGAAAAAGTGGACAAACATGTCCATATCAAACATCAAAACTACATCAAAGAATACAACCAAAGAGTGAAAAGGTGGAATGGGAGGAATATCTCATATCTATGCAATATAAGTGGAATATTTAATACCATATAAAATCATATCTGATAAAGGGTCAATATCCAGAATACACAAAGTACTTCTGTAATTAGGCAATAATAACCTGACTTTAAATGAGCAAAAGACCTTATAAAGAAATTTCTTCATAGATGAGACACAAACGACCAAAAAGTACATGAAAAGATGCTCTTCATCACTAATCATTAGAGGAATGCAAATCAAAGCCATAACAAGATATTACCCTGAGAATAGTTACTACTGAGAGAATTGAAAATAGCCATTGTTGGCAAGACTGTGGAGAAAATTTGAACCCATTTTGACTGTAAAATGATACAACTGCTATAGAGAATGGTATGGCAGTTCCTCAAAAAAATTAAAAGTAGGCCAGGCACAGTGGCACATACTTGTAATCCCAGCTAGGCAGGAGGACTGCAAATTTGAAGACTGCCTGGGTAATTTAGCAAGACCTTGTTTCACGATAAGAAGGCTATGCGATTCTACTTTCATGAGGTATCTAAGAAGTCCAGTTTATAGAGATAGGAAGAATGATGGTACTACAGCAGCACAGACAGAGGAACAGAGGAGCTGTTTAATGGGTATAGAATATCAGTTTTCCGAGCTGAGGATGTAGCTCAGTGGGACCATGCCTGCCTGGCAAGTGCAAGGTCCTGAGTTTGAGCCTTGGTTCCATACACACACACAAAAATTTCAGTTTTCTTATCTGAGAAAGATGTGGAGATCTGTTGCACAACAATATGAACTATACCTAACACCACTGAACTATACAGTTATTCCTCATTTAGTGACCTATTGTTCAATGATGTTTGTACTACAACTCATCTTTCGTACAGTTCTGTGTATCTTGTTTATATAGCCTCAATGTCTTTTTTTGGTACAGTAGTTTTATGTTATACATTACAGTACTCCAAGTAGGAGTTATATAAATAAAAGTAATCAAGTTGGAGTTTCCTTTGACCATTTCTTTCTTATGAATATTGTACATACTATACACAATTCTTCATTTAGCAAGCAATTCACTTAACAACCTAGCTGTGGGAATGTGACCTGGTCCTTAAACAAGGAATGTCTACACTTAAAAATGGTTGGATGGTAGAAAAAGGATGAATTTTGTGACATAAAAGAATGCATCAAAAAAATGTGAAGACTTTGCAAAAGTTATAAGCATAAAATAAAAATGTGTACATAGAGCATAAATAATATGTAAGAATGTACTAAAAAACTTTAAAAGTGGATTACAGGTTTAAAAAAAACACTATTTTTGAGCACTTTCAGATATTTCTTCTGGTAAAAATGTACACACAGTATACACAAAAAAGGGCTGCTTTTGTATTTAGGGATCAAAACCAGAAAGACAATACCTGGGCTGGAGTGTTTGTTGTCACAGGAGATGGCGCTTCACTAACTTTTGGCTCACTTGGGGATGCCACTGACCCCTGAGACTCCTGGCTTGCGGGCTGGTCTGGAGACAAAGCATCACTGCTGTCTTCATCAAATGAGAAATCGCCCTGAGTGTGGGGATAGTCCTCCTTCCCAACACCTGGAGAAAGAAGTGACTGTTAATTTATGCTGGCTTTACAATACCAAACTTAATATGAAAAAGAAACACTGCTCCCTGTAAGAATTTTTTGTTAAGAGAGAGTCTTTTTTGTCTATGACGTGTACTCTGAGTAATATTTTGGCCATTCTTTTATGACTGACAAATCACAATTTTATGATTATCACAGTGTAATGTTCTCTAATTCTATGAAATTTTATTTTTTCATCAATGTAAGAGTGCTTTTTTACATTTTCTTTATTAATATCTACATGTATTCCATTAAAATAAAATTGAAGACAGCATACTTTCCAATGGAAGCACAGACCATTCAGAACCTATGAGTAAATGGGGATCATATTAAGCCTTTGGATCCAATTACTAGTGCAGGAAGAATAGGAGACAGGAATATTTTGAGAAATACCTGGAATGCAAATGTAATCAGTAAAATCCAAAATGTAGGACCATGCTTGAGGATAACACAAACTTGTGTAGTCAGTAAATAAATACTAATAAAAAAAGAGGGGAGGAAAACTCATCCAATAGATTAGATTAAGACTTAATCAGACAATCAGCTACTGACACTATGGGACCCTTGCTTGGACCCTAACCCAGAATCCTAGTATTAAAGAACATGAGGCAGTGGAGATAGCACATCACTGGGTATGTGTTGATAAGTCCTCAATTCAAGTAACAGCCCAGCTGTATTCACACCTTACCTCCGAGGGACAATCAGCGAAACTAAAAGGAATTATAGGTGATTGTATAACTCAGGATTCATGACTACAAACTGCCTAAGCTTTAAACTTCAAACTAAAGGAAATATGAAGTTCCCAAGAGTAATGGAAAATAAAGTAGGATAACAATTTTTTTGTTTTTGGTACCAGGGATTGAACTTGGGTCCTTGTGCTTGCGCAGCAGGCAGCGAAACCACTGAGCTAAATCCCCGGCCCTGGGATAACAACTTTTCAAAACTGCTTGCTGAATAAGTAGCAGTAGTCTTGAAATGATTTTTTTTTTTTCTGGTAAAACTTACAGGAGAAATAAAAAGAGAAACAGTAGGCTGTAGGTGTAGCTCAGTGTGTAGTATGTGTGTTTAGCACACACAGAGGCCCATGGTTCAATTTCCAGCATCAAGAGGGAGGTGGAAAAAAGACATACTCGTCAGTAACTATGATGGGACCAGCATGGGATAGACACATACTACCTTCCTTAAAGAATATGTGTATAAGCATCTATTATCCTCCCTCTGGAACTAATGCTGAATAAGCTATTTATCTTTTTAGAAACAAAAGATGAAAAGTTTATAAAAATATTAAACTAAACAGCACAATACAGTAATTTAACCTAGAAAATGTGATAATGAAATCAAAACATCAAACTTAAACCTGACACATAAAAGGAATCTGTTAATTGGTAGCAGATGCTAATCTTCTAATACATAATAACAGTAACAATTACTGTGTTAATCAAATTCTAATTAACCTGGAAAACAATACCCATGATTGGTATTGCCCTTTCAATTAAATTTTATCTAAAACGTCCAAGTTCCTTTCTCCTAGAAAAAGAGTAAGTTTTTACTCTCACCTATAATTGCTTCCTTAACACTGGAGTCCACAGGAAGGATGTTCTTCTCCACCAGCTCCATAGGACCTGGCCTTTGAGCAATCTTTTCATTCAGATCATCCGCCAGTCGAGCTCGTTTCAACTTCATCTGTGTAGCCTGCAGAGATGGCTCTGCAAATGTTTCTAAAAGAGAAAGCACAGTTTTAACTATCACTTGAATTACCATTTCTAGTTTATAATGTTGTTTTAGGCCAACTAATGGAACCTAACTAGTTTAAACATATTTATGTGTTCTAAACATCTTTATTAAAAGAGAAAATACTTAATCCTCCACATAAATTTTGTATTATTTTTGGATAGCACTGTCTATACAGTATGGATGCCTAAAGACTTGAATTAACATGACTTAAGCCCCAAATGGGGAACTGTTACCATTCACTTATAGCAGGAGGGTCAAATTCACATTTATTAGATACTGTGGATATACAAGACAAACAAGGTAGATGTGGCCTATGACTTAAGTTTACAGTTCTATATTTGGCTTCAATGGGCAGTCAATTCCTAGAAATGGAGACATGACTTCTTAGGATATAGGCTTCTTTGCAGGGGTCAAGGGGGAAGAGCTATAATTTATAGTATTCTTAGATTGATCCCTGTGTATCTCAGGGTCAGCCATCATAATTAAGAATATGGGTTTATTTTTGAATACATAACCTGTGTCTATTAGGAACATTCAATTCCATAGAACTTAATGGGTTATAGAAGCATCAACTCATCTATTTAAAAATGTATAAAGTTGCTATAAATCTCATAACTCATTCATTTTCTTTATTCTGTCAATTATTTGTGTTTCTGGCATCTCTAACATTTTTTATTGTTATTTATAAATAATATTTATACTTGTTTAAAAATAATGATATAGTGTCAACCTCAAATTCCAGGTGAAAGTTACTTGTCTCTTAAGTTATACAGAAAGTCTTTAATGAAATTCTCCCTAAGCAGTCTCAGGACTGACTGATGTTCTGCATTCTTCAGGTAGAATGTCCTGGTTGGAGCTCAAGGCTCAATGCACACTCATGCTTGGTAAGCTACTCTTTAGCACATATACGCAACTTCTCGCTCTACCAGATGCTTGCCAAAAGTCAATTGTCTACAAGGTAGTTTACGTCTGTTAGTGCTATTGTCAATATATAATTTAGCTAAATGTTATGAGAAAATGTTAAATTAAAAAAATAAAATGATTGTTCCTTGGAGACCTAAACACTTTGGAAAGATGTAATAAAGGCGAGTCATTACAGAAATTGCTATTTAATTTGGGCAATTAACAAATATAAAAGATTTGGGAAAAAGCTTGTAAAACCTAAGATGTTCAACTCCAATTACTTTTCAAAGTGTCTTGTAAATTTTTATTGCACCATAAGTGGAAGCTGCTGATGACGTACTATGTCTGGGCTCTATGAAGAACAAATGATGTGAACTCCATTCATGAAAGTCTTCCCTCAAATGAAGGCTTGACCCCTTGGTTGGAATACTGGCAAATAAATGTACATTTCCATAAGTTAAAATGTGAGCCCATCTCATTTTTATAATTTTTCTATACAACCAAATGTGGCTCCAATCTTGGGAGATAAAACACATCTAACAATACAGGGAGGTGATACATGGGGAGAATTAAACCAGATGAATGGCCTCAGGTTGACCTTCTAGTGTTTGTGTTAAGATCTAGGTAGGACAGGCTTCTCTTTTTCTCCCATTAACAACACCAAGTGACTGCAGCATGTTTGGAAAGAAAATACGTCCAAAGAAAAGAAGTACAGCTTGGTATGTTGGTATGTTTCTGTTCCTGGTATTAATATCTCCTCATCTCCATGAGGCTGAAGCTGGATTTTGACTGTTTAACCTCAGAAAATAATTTAGAGTCCTGCTTGTCAAATTGGGTTACTGTTAAAATACAGTTGGGATGATTTAAGATATTTCAAAAATTAAAGGTGACACATTCTTATTTCAAAAGTTCCAACTAGAGAACAGATGTCCTAAAAATATTACAGTTCATTCATATATACTGTTAGGTTCTTAAATGTTGGGTACTCATTTTTTAAAAAATAAAACCAAGTATAATCCCTTTTGATAGCTAAATGTATTTGCTTTTTTAAAAAATTTTTTTGGTACTGGGAATCGAACTCGGGTCCTTGCGCTTGCGAGGCAGGTGGCAGAACCACTGAGCTAAATCCCTGGCATGCTTTATTTTAATTGTATTAACACAGCCTATTAGAAGGTAAGTTAAAATAGCACTATTACATAAACATCCCTATTTTTGGTACAGAAGGAGCCATTTACTGTGTTGCTTACCAGTGAACTACTTCTTTCAAGCCACTTATCCCTGATAGCTGGTCTACCCTACTGCTGGAGCTCTAAAAAACCTTTTCTAGTCCAGTGGACATCTGAGAACAACCGAAGTGGAGAAAAGCACATACCTCTTATTGTCTGCCCCTGCAGTGAGGAGGGTGGGCACATGATCATAGATTCTTCAAGTCAGAGCAGATCTTACTTGGAGTCACAGAAAAACAAACTTGGTACTTCAAACTTCTTTATACAACACCCTATTGTGGTGTCAGCCTATGCTTTTTCTCTATTACACCAGCCTGTTTATTCCTCCCAGAGAGCTTCTCAATTCTGTAATTCACTGGTTTTACATGCTCATTATCTTTGTCTACCACTAGAATGCAAGCTCCAGGAGGCAGGCAGCCATCTGTCTTGTTCACTGTTGGGCCCTGGTGTCCAGCGTGCTGGCCAATGGATGAACACCTCTAATTACAGTAACTTTGTCACCTCCTAAAAGATTTCATTTTTGGATATGTTTGGCCTTTAGGATGATATTCTTCATGTTAAACTACAATTTAATATTCTATAAAATCAGCCTAACTGTAATATTAATTCTAATCCAAATTCTATCATTAGGCCCAGAGAGCAGATCATCCTTCTACCTGACAACTGTCTCTAAATGTTTAAGAATTTTCCAAATTCTCCCTGAATCTTTTCAAGGCTTAATACAGGACTATCACAAGATAAAGCTTCTAGTCTTGCTTAATAAATCAGAGAAGCAAAACAAAGAAAGAAAATGTAACTAGGGAGTTTTTAATGGAGGTACTAGCATTTGAGAATGCTCTGTCTTTACAGAGAAAAACATCCAGGCCTGAGCCATGTGTTTAGTAAGAATGGAATGAGAACTGTTCCTCCCAGCCTCCCAAATGACTTGAGGTCACTGAGCCACTTTTGATAGGGGTATGTGCCATAACGATCAGATCAGGCTCGTCTGTGGCAGTTTAAGTGGCAACAGAGAAGATGCTGGGTGTGGGCTTTTGTGCTGGGCAGACATAAACGAGGTCCAAGTAGCTGAAAATCTATGGTTAGAACTGTGGTTACTACATCCTCTGTGATTTAATGAACAGGACACACGTCCCTCACTGTTAAGGAATGCTCTGGACCAAACATGTCTTTCTAGAACAGTATGGGAAAGGTACATGTGGTGGCAGCTGGTGGGGAAGAACTACCTCAGCAATTGGTTATTTGGAGAATTAAGTCTTTCGCCATATATCTAACACAAGTATTTTAGTTTTGTGTCTTTATGTTGCTATCCAATTTGGAGGATGTCAGTCTGTGGAATAAAAAATCATTAAAATAGGAACAAACAGAAGTGTTAGAACACTCACTTCTTTTCTTCAGAAAATGCACCCAAGTTGGTAGAAATAAAACCATTACCTTCTAAAATGTGCATCCTTACAAGTTCAGAACGATCTGGTCGACTCCTAATCTTGTGTTTCAAGAAGTTTTCAGTCTTTAAAAAAAAAGGTAAAGAAATTCTTACCATAGCTTTTATGATTATTGTGGTTTTAAATTTTCTTCAGGGTACTCCATTTAAATAAACTGTTTCCCTTTTGTAATGTCTCTGAGAGGAAGAATAGAAATCAGAACTTGTGGGGACATGACAGTACATGTGGGTATAAGTAAGCTCTGTATAGACTTTTATTTTAAAACTTGGCCAAATAAAAAGAGAAGCTCATGATTTTGAAGATGACTTTTGAATAAATATAGAATTTATTTGAATATCTAAAATTGGGCCAGGGATTTAGCTCAGCGGCTGTGCGTGCCTTGCAAGCCCAAGGTCCTGAGTTCGATCCTGGTACTGCAAAAAACCCCCCCAAAACCAAAAAACTACTTAGCAGATGTTGTAGGACCCTAAGAGATCATCACTGCATTCTGGGGAATTTTGCTTTCTGAGGCAAGGTCGGTCTCACTGTGTAGTTTCGGCTCGTCCTAAACTCACTACACAGCCCAGCCTGCTTCACCTATGGCAGTCCTCCTGCCCTAGCCTCCTAAGTGCTGCGACTACAGGCATGAACCACTGTACCTGGCTATTCTGGGGAAGCTCTCATCTTGCATGATAGACATTAACCTCCCCCAAAAGAAGACAGAAGACAGTGACTGTGTATAATGGTGCTTTTAGGAAAACATAATGAGCGCCGACGTGGTGCGCAGCTATGATGGGGCCATTTCAAAGAACAGAGTGGAGCTGATCGTGGCAGTGTTCTCTGACTCGGCCTCATCTCCCCCCTTAGTCAGACGCAGAGGTGACACAGACCAGGCAGGGGACTCTTGGGTCAGCCCGTCACGTGGCTGGCTGTCCCTCTGCAGGGTAGCAAATGACAAAATCACTCATTCTGTCTCTATAAGCTACTAGGCCCCAAGAGCAAGAGTAAAGAAGTATGATTTGTCCTTTAATTACAAAACTGGTAACTGGTTTTAAGAGCAAAATTTAAATGTCATCTATTTTCTATGAACCTTTGAAATAAAACTGCCCCAGAATATACGTCCTCTCCACTGCATGTCTTGAGCATGCATCGCATTATGTCTATCGGTGCGTTTAGGGATAAGGCTGCCCCTTGTCCACAGGTACTTTAGAACAAAGCAGAGAAGCAGTGCATTTTAAAGCAGAATTCTTACTCTGGCTCGCTCCAAGCTTTTTATCTGTTCATGGAATGCCGCTGGGCTCTTCAGAGCTGTGAGGAGAAAATAAATAATTTCCACAGTGTGAATAAAGGAGTCCATACTTCAGTGTACAGTATATGACATCGGTAATTCTTAGTGAACATCTGTAGTTTCACTTATTTCTTTAGATGTGCAAAATTTAAAACCTTGAATGTTACAACAGAATTAAAATTATGTATTTCACAAATAAAACAAGTGAATATTTAAAATAGGAATTGAATATATAATGACAATGCAAACACTGGATCAGACTATTTTTCACCACTACTAGAACAAATTTCCATTGTCCAGGAAAATGTCTGACTCCTTGATAGGTATTTGCTCTTAATGGCCATATAAGATACTGGAAAAGCCCTAAATATCCTCAAAAGCAGCCTACACTTGAACATGAGGACACGTAGCACTCCATATCTAAGAGATCCGAGGTACCATTTATTCAGAACTCACTGTGCTGGGGCCAGGCACAATTTATTGCTGTTGGTCTTCATAAGAGCCTTGCAGAGTTAGAGTTAACACTAGGGTAGATGAGAGGCTCAACCATAGTGAACGAATTCTGAGGTCATATAGTTAGACTATGGACAAAGTGGGGTTTAAATCCAGGATTTTGTATTTGAGAGGTTCATGTTCTTTCTAGCATACAATGTATTTCACTCTAAAGACACAGTGACTGTAAAACTGCCAATGTATTAAATATTCTGGAATCTCAGCAGGAGGGTAAACAGTGTTTACCAAAACATGACCTACTACAGAATTTCTGTCAATTATCATTGCAAAATCTGTTTTGTGTATGTCTGCCACTGCCTGATAACAACCTGCATGTATAACCATGGGCAGGTGAGTGGATGGGGGTATACCGTAGGACTAAGATTCCTTGGGCAGACAAGACTTGACCAATCAGCCTGTAAAATTATTTTCAGCCCTGATACTTGAAGCACTGTAAAGACCCTCAGGAGCCCAGTCCAGCAAGATTTGCGTACAGACCAGCTCTCAAGAACAACGGTGTATTAAATATCAAAATTTGCTGCAGCTGGGAAGAGCATTCTGCAGCTGTCTCCTCTGCCCACTTTGTTTATAATATTGTTAACTCTCCCATTTCCTTGATTTTCTGCTCATCATTTTTTTTTTTTTTTTGTACCAGGGATTGAACTCAGGACCTTGTGCTTGCGAGACAGGCGCAGTGCCACTGAGCTAAATCCCCGGCCCCTCATCATTGTTTTTTGAGAAAAGGTCTCACTGCAGTTCAGGCTGGCCTTAAGCTCATTATGTAGCCAAAGGCTTAAAGCAAAATAAGATAACTCTTAGAAAAATTAATTTTTAGATAAAACCCAGATAAATAATCCTACAGCTCACATAAAACAACCATACTTTTCCTGTAAAATATAAAAAACTTGCATAGCTGGTGATTAAAGGTGAAGAAAATACTCTAAAATTTAATCAAGTCAAAAATTTCTTGAAAGGAATGAATCCTTGGGATATTTAGGAAATATCTGTACTTGGACCAGAAAGATTTTATTAATTATAAATAGAATGGTTACCAGTCTTACAACTGAGATGCATTTAATCTTCTTTTTGGTACCGGGGATCAAACTTGGGTCCTCGTGCTTTCGAGGCAGGCGGCAGAACCACTGAGCTAAATCCCCGGCCCGAGATGCATTTAATTATATAAACCACAGTATACCACCAAAGATAAATTAATGTGGATTAAGTAAATTTAAGTAGAACAAGGTTGTGAATTTTATCATGTTACTTTTGTAAGTCTAATCTCAGCTCCATTAGTGTGGTTACTTCAATTATTTAAAAACTAAAATACTAAAGTTTGGTTAAGAACTTTTAGTATCTTAAAGATGTTCTTTGTACAACATAAAATTCAAATCTACCTTTTAATCTGTATGCACCTGGTTTTTACAATGTATTCTACATGTTTTTCTTAGGCTGACATTGCTGATGCAAGACATCACTGATAATTCAGTTGCTAACTGTGCTGAATGAATGAGTACAACTGGAGGGAGGGTGAGTGGGGTAGACCGACTCCTTGGACGTGCCCATCTTGCTACGGCACACCAGGGATGACAGTGATGTGGCAGTCTTACGTGGCATGATGCCCTGGTCCACTAGTTGTTCTCTTGTCCTCCTTTGTTGAAGCCTTAGCTGGAGCACTGTGGAAAGAAAATAATCACTGCTGGAATCTCATATAGAATTACTATATCACCCAGCATTTCCACCCCTAGGTGGTATTTCAAGAAAAACAAGAACAAGAAATATGAACACATAAAAACTTGTCCATCCATGTTCATAGCAGCATTATTCAAAATGGCCAAATGTCCATCAATAATCAAAATATGATAAAACCAGCTTGTACCAGTTCCAGAGGGAATACTGTTAAGCATTACTAAACATCAAAATCGAACAAGGATATTACCTGGCACCATCCAACTTCAAAAAGAAAATTATTTTGTGATTCTGCCTGTTGGGTGAACTCTGAAGTTTACTCAGTGTCGTGTTTTGTTTAGTTAATAATCGTAATTTGCTGACTAAAGCTAAGTACTTTCTATTTAAATGCATTCACACAGTATCCTGCAAATAAACAGAAATAAAGAAACTTCACTCTTAGAAAAAGAAGTGTGAAGTTCCTTGATGTTCTTCAGTTTTTTTGTTTTTTTTTTAAAAAATGGCTGACAGCAAAAATTTATTTTAAGGAAAGACTAACTTGTTTGGAGGCATTTACTCTATCACCAATTCTCTCTATCCTTACCCAATACTGGGGAATAAACCCAGGGCCTTTGCTCTGAGGTACATCCTCGGCCCATTTTTATTTTTGAGGTAAGGTCTCACTAAGTTAAGTTGCCCAAGGTGGCCTTAAACTTGGAATCTTTCTGCCTCAGCCTCTCAGAGTGCTGGTATTACAGGTGTGTGCCACCACATCTGGCTTCCAACAGGAATAAGTTTTAAGTAGCTTTAATGAAGCATAAATTCATAAAAATCAGACCTACAAAATATTAGCAATGACCCAAAGGGAAATTTCTCAATTAAGAATTTAAGTTTAGCAATCTGTGTACAAACATGATACCATACCTTATTATAAAAGTTCTAAGAAATCCAGAAATCTATTGACACCTTATTGTTTTAATAAAAGAAAGTAATTATTACAACTGGTAGAGAACAGATAATACGTTATGTAATTAAATGTGGGCATTCAGTTTGCCAAATCTAATCAAAACTTCTTTTCTAGAATTCTCAAGCAGATTCCTTTTATAACATCTGTGTATTTTCATATGGGAAATAAGCCTACTTTTATAAAGAGGAATACATAAAGTGATGTTAAAAAATATTTTTCCTGGTTAGTCTTAAAATAAATTTTAAGATTCTTTCATTTTTGTTTCAAACCATGGATGGAAACCAAGTTAGGATGATTGAGGATTGATTTAAGGACTGCTGACATTCAAACAAACAAACAAACAAACATTCCCCAAAGCCTATCTGTTTTTAAGTGCTGGGGAGAGAAGACTGAATTTCCTGGGGGAGGTGACGGTGCAGCCAGGGCTGGCTCAGTACAGTCCATGTGGCCAGGTCTCCTGCTTGCAGTAGACTTGGAAGGTGCAGGGACCACGGCCCCGAAAGCCTTGCTATGTGTGGCCTCGTGCTGACTGTACAGCAGAGCTCAATCTGAGATACATTTTCAAAAGAGCCTAAACTGGAAATGGCTTTCACAATATTTTCTTATCCTTACTAGGTGTGAATGTCATCCTTTACTGCATACAGAAATGTGATTTTTGGTTTCTGTTTGTTTTGGGGCCACAGGATCACAAAGCTTCACTGCTATCTCATTTAGAACTGAAGTAACCGATGTAAGATTCTATTACCAAAACAAAAGTTAAACAAGTTTAAAAAGAACATATGCATGTTTCTGACTTTGAAATGTTTTGTGAGGTTTTTTTCAGTTAGCTGTGTGCTAACAAAGATCTTCTCCTAGATACGAATAGTTTATTGAGAATAGTGTGTTCCCATTACTTTACCAAGAGCAAAAATAAGGAACAGCCTTGTGGATGTGACAACAACCAAGTGCTTGCCTTCTCTAACATTCTTCTATGAATACTGAAGTTTATGCTGTATGACATTTAAGATGGTCACACATAACGACTAGAAATCACACTAATGCTGGTATGAGAAGGTGTCTGCTACCATGTCAGCGCACCTCACTCTGACTTCTATCAAGCCACTTTCCAACTGACGCTAAGTATGTGTGGTTAGGGTCAGACTCACAAGTCTGCCCCCACTTCAGACAACAGTCTAGTCTACGTTACTCATGCTACAAATTTGGGGGAGTTCTCATAATACCCTCCTCAGGGTCAAGAATTGTAATTCAGCAACAACAAAATGGAAGAGACGTACAGGGCAAGGTAGGGGAAGGGACACAGAACTCACATGACCTCCCCAGTCACTCTCCTTTTCCTGACCTTGCCTCCACTCTGAAGACATCTAGGGACCTACAGCTCCTGGCATCTCTTAGCACACCCAAAACACTCTTGTCACTCTGGAGATTCCAAGAGTCTTAGAAAGAAGCTCTCATGTCAGGAACTAAGATAAAATATAACAAAAGATGCTCTTATTACCTCTGTTACTCAGGAAATTGTAAGGGTTTTAGGAGTTCCATGCCAGTAACCAGAGACAAAGACACAATATACATTTCCTCTTAGATGACAATGTCATAGACACTAATCACTTACTGTTAAAACAAAAAAACCATTTGCATTTTCCATCCAATTTTCTATGTGGACAAACAACCCTAGTTTTCCCATTCTACTTGAATCTTCCCAATTAATGCTCTCAAAACTGCCCATACAACTTCCTAAGAAGCAACAACATCACACTGCAAGTATTACTTAAAACAGTTGTGGCTAGCAGCTTCCCCCAGGCACACTGAATTGTTTACAGCATACATATAGTATCTGTAGGTGACTATATACAGGGTGTTGCATGGAATGCAAACCCGTGGGAAAGAGCAGCAGCACCTGTGAATGGAAGATCAGGTTTTAAACAAAGCCTTTGAGAGGAGTGTGAGTGGAGGAAGGCAAACTTGCAAGTACCTGGCTATGTGGTTGGTCTGTTGGTGACCCACCCTTTTGCCTCTTCATCTACACTAACAAAGTAAACAGTAATGGACACATTATATTGATTATGAGGTACAATATCCTAACAAGACTCAGGTACATTCATGATGTAGTTCAATGGCGGAGCTTTTGCCTAGCATGTGTGAGGTCCTGGTTCAATCCGCAAGACAAGAGAAGGGGAGGGGAAGAGAAGGGGAGAGACGTGGGGAGGGAGTACACAATAAAACATACACAGAGAATACACTGCCACTTGTGGTCAATTTTAAAATGCAATTATAAGCCAGGCATGGAGGTGCATGGTCATGCTCATAATCCCAACTACCTGAGAGGGTGAAACCAGTCTGGGCAACACAGCAAGAACCCATTTTAAAACAAAACAACCAGGTGTGGTGGTGCACACATGTAATCCCAGTACTTGGAAGAGTGAGGCAGGAGGATTGCTGGGAGTTTGAGGACAACCTGGCCTATGTAGTGAGCCCAAGGCCAGCTTGAACTACATAGCAAGACCCTGTCTCAAAAAACCAAACCAGGGCTGGGGATTTAGCTTAGTGGTTCCAGTGCTTGCCTTGCAAGCGCAAGGTCCCGAGTTCGATCCTTGGTACCAAAAACAAAACCAAACCAAACCAAACCAAACCAAATTATAGTATCTGTTCATATCAAATACAACCTATCACTCAAAACTTGACAAAGGCTATTCTGAGAACAACTATTAGTTTAAAAAGTGCCAGTCAAAAGGTACAGCCTTATAATTTTAGAAAATATAAATTTCCTTTCCTCATTTTGTAAAAAAAAAAAAAAAAGTTATAATAAATGACACACATAGCTGCGCCTCATAGGCAGAACATTCAAGACCAGGAAGAGCACAGCATGAATGATGGAGATAGCTTAACTGTCTTACAACACTGGAAGATGGGAGTTGGGGAGAATTTGCTGGCACTTGTCTAGTACTGTGAAGCAGATAAAGGGCCCTAAAAATAGAGGCCCCAACTCTTCTAATGGTCAGGGACAATCATAGTTGTGGGCTCAGGCTGTTTTATGAAGTAGACCTCCTTCCACCTTCCCTCCCTTTGCAGGCCCCACACTCCCTGTGGTGCTTCTTCCATCCCTACGGAGGGAGAGAGGACTCAATACTGAATGCTACTGGCGTAGCTATAGTTCTTAAGAGCACTACCTATGCTGGTATGCTGGCTGATCTCTGGAAAACTTGACATACACTTGTGCTGATAAGATTTCATTTCTGCAGCCACAAACTGAAGACTAGATACTGGTTCAGATCTCTTCCCTGTGGTGGTGGTGGTGGCACAGCTGCCTGAGAAGCCAGTCTCCCTGGCAATGGCCTCATGTATGAAAACTGCACCTGAGAGCCTTTTCCCCCTGTGCTTGCTGAGTAGATGATTGTGATACTTGGCTTACTGGGCTAATTACATCACAGCCTCCAAGCTATTGGCGAGTCAACTGACATTCAGTATCTCTCGTGGCCATTTTGGAAATAACTTCATGCAAGAAAAGAACACATGTGAAGTTAGAAATCACAGAGGAAAAACAGCCCAGAACACTCAGTCAGTGCATGTCTATATTTTACAGCAAAGGATATAGCTAATGGAGTGACATAAAATTCAAGTTACAATTGCTCACATGTGAACACTTCCAAAGAATGTCTTATCTTTTAAAAAAATCTAGAAACTAAAACAGACCAATACAGTGTTCCAAGAAGTCCTTAAGTTTAAGATTTAAAACAGAGTTTAAACCTATTTGATTGTTAAAAAAAAGAAGAGGAAAGGGTGGATAAAAAAGTACATCTCATACAGGTAGCACTGTGTTCTGTGTAAAACATTTATCTCAACCTGAGGATTCTAAAACATCTGTCTACTTCCAGATGATAAAACTCACAAAAGGCACGCGAAGGACACTATGTGTGTTTGATAGTATCACACCTTTCTTAGCCCCAATTCAAAGCATTTTTTAATTTAAAAAAATTTCACACACTGTCTTCAGTGATATATGCTCAATACACAAGTTAGTAAATGGAGGAGAAACTAAAAAACAAA